AACCCCATTCTTTATCAAAATCCTACTTACTTTTCAAAGTCTATTTGGAACCTCTCCTTGGTAAAAATTTGAAAGTTACTCTTTTTCTACAGCTCCTTATGAGTTTTACCACAGTCTTCTTTGTGTGGCTAGTTTTTCCTCATTTGTGTAGTAATTTTGAGAATTAAAGGAGATAATATAAGTAAAAAATTATTAGAGCCTACCATATAGCAAAAACCCAATGAATATTTTTATTAGTAGTAATAAGTAGTACTACTAATTCTTGTTATGGTTATTACTGTTATTACCATATTACTTCTTTGAATTCTTGATATGACTCTACTAAACTGGGGGCATGAAACATGTTATTCATTTTCAAACTCAAAACCCCCCAACATGATTAAGATGACTCCTCCAACTGATCTACAGATTCAGTGCAATCCTTATCAAAATCTCAGATGGCTTTTTAAAAGAAATGGACAAACTGATATTAGAATTCACATGGAAATGAAAAGGACTCAGAATAAACCAAAGCAATCTTGAAAAAGGACGAAGTTGGAGGATTCACATTTCCTGATTTCAAAAGGTACTATAAAAGGTACTATAAAGCTACAGTAATTAAGACATGCGGTACTAGAATAAGAATACATATATAAAACAAAATAAAAGAGTTGAGTCCAGAAATAAAGCCTTCCATTATGGTCCACTGATTTTCTATTACTTTTACTACTTTAATACGGCCATAAAACAAGAACAGATCACTACATCTTCCCCTATCTCTGATGTTAATTAATAGTTTTCTTCTGCTCTCTGCATTGTCTGAGTACCTTTTGACCACTTCTGCTGTTATCTTTCCTGCTAAAAGCTTTCTTCAAATATCTGGTTATTCTTAGATGTCCATTCATATTTAAGAGTTAAGGACTCTTAAGATGTCAATACTAACCAAAGCAATCTATAGATTTGATGCAATCCTTATAAAATATCCAAGTGTGTTTGCAGAAATAGAAAAAAATCCATCCTAAAATTCATATGGAATCTTAAGGGATTCCAAATAGAAAAAAGTTGGAGGTCTTAAACTTCCTGATTTCAAAACTTAGTTTTCACTACAATTGTCAAATCAGTGTGGTACTGGCATAAAGTTAGACACATAAACCAATGGAATAGAGAGCCCAGAAATAAATTCTCACATATGTGGTCAAATACCTTTTGACAAGGGCATTTATCAAAATTTCCATTCAATGAGAAGGGATTTTTCAGCAAATGGCAGTGGGAAAACTGGATATGCACAAGCAAAAGGCTGGACCCTTACCTTATAGCATACACAAAAGTTAACTCGAAATGGATCAAAAACCTAAACATATGAACTAAAACTACAAAATTCTTAGAAGAAAACATAAGGAAAGGCTTTATGAAATTGAGTTTGTCAATGATTTATTGGATATGATACCAAAGGCACAGGCAACAAGAGGAAAAACAAGTTAATCAAAATAAAAAACTTTTATTGTGAATCAAAGGACACTATCAACAGAGTGAAGGGGAACCCACAGAATAAAAGAAAATATTTGCAAAATACCTGTCTGGTTTGACAGTCAGGGTATATATTTAGAATATACAAAGATCCTACAACTCAACAACAAAAAGCAACCCAATTAAAAAATGGGCAAAAGACCTGAATAGATGTTTCTCCACAGAAGAAATACAAATGGCCAATAAGCACACAAAAAAGATGCTCAGCATCATTACTCAGCAGGGAAATGCAAACCAAATTAAAAAAACAGAAAATACATTTTGGCAAGTACATGGAGTAAGTGGAACTCTTGTGTATTGTTAGTGGGAATGTAAAATGCAGCTGCTGTAGAAAACAGTACGACGGTTCTTTAAAAGATGAAATATATAATTACCACATGATTTGGTTAATCTCACTTCCCAGTATTAACCCAAAGAAATAAAATCAGACACTCAAGTATTTGTACACCTGTGTTCATAGCAGCTTTATTCACAATAACCAAGAGATGGACGCAACCAACAATTGATGGTTATCTATTGATAGATGAACAGATAAACAAAATGTGGGGCAAAAGTAGGTTTACAGTTCTGAGTATGCAAAAGAATTTATTCTTATACTATTTATTATTATATGATTTTTCCAAGGGAACAACTGTAAAGCTACTTTTGCCCCACCCTGTAAACATACAATGGAATATTATTCAACATTAAATAGGAAGAAAATTTGGCACATGACACAGTATGGACGAACACTGAAGATATTAAGGTAAGTCAAATAAGCCAATCACAAAACAACAAATATTTTACACAACAACAGTGAGTCTCAGTGGGTAATCAGTAGACCTGGCTTTTTACTAAAGGGACTTCAAATACCCAGGTCTTTACCCTGGGTCAACTTTCTGCAGGGAAGAATTCTGTCATCTCCAGCTAGGCTCCTCTCTTCATAATGTATCAAAAGATGGTAAGTTCAATGTCTTAACTCATTTATATGTTTATTATTTGCAATCCCATCCCTTGATTAAAATACAAGCTGCTTAAAGATAGAGATTTTTATTGTTTTATTTTTACAAATTGTTATATCCCACCCTGGATGGGTGGTTGGAACGTCGTCCTGCACACCAAAACGTTGCAGGTTGCATTTCCAGCAGGGCACCTACCTAGGTTGTGAGTTCAATCCCCAGTCAGGGTGCATATGGGATGTGACCAATGTTTTTCACATCAATGTTTCTTTTTTTCTCTCACTCTCAAATCAGTAAACAGATCCTTGGATGAGGATTAAAAAAAAAACTGCTATATCCTCAGAGCTTAGGAAAGTATAAATGTGAGCAGGCACTCAAAATGTATCTGCTGAATTTTTGGTGCACTTAATGTGTTAGGAACTATGCTATTTCATATTTATAAATTCAATTAATCCTTAAATTACCACATGTATGATATTATTCCCATTTTACCAATGAGGTGAGATATGGAGAGGTTAGGTAACTTGTATGCAGACAAGGTACAGGTAGGATTAACACATAGGGTCCGTGTGACTCCATGATTCATCTTAATTACTATATTATACTGCCTTCTATAAAGAAATTGTATAGTGTTCGTCCTGAAAATAAGAATCTACACGCTAATGATATAACCTATGAGTTATGGTCCGCTTTATGCTGCCCAACTAACATGTAACTTGAATACTAAAAAGCCTGAAGGATGTGTATGTGGAAGGAGGCAGTGAATCCCTGCTATAGTGAGACATGATTACTGAGGCAAATGTATTAAATGTCTCCCAGACAGAGAAACGGCTGGCAGAAAAAACCTGCTGGTTAAGTTATCTAATTCTGAATAACAAAGAAATTACTATTTTTCCCCAGGACTATTTTCTTCCTTATGATTCCTTTGCTTATCTTCCTCAGACACACAAGTAAAACAGAAAGCATGGAATATTAGAAAGTAAAGTATTCCAGAGGTATGAACTCCAGTCCTGGCACTGACATTAACTTGCAGTGTGCTCTGGAATAAGCCATATGAAGAAGAGAATAGTATATTAGCAGTTATTTCCAAACTTCCAAATATGTATTAGAAATGCAAACTTACTTTCTCAGGAAATACTCAATATTTACCTTGCCCTTTAAAAAGTGATTAGATTACTACATTAGAAATTTAGTTTAGGAGTCTGTCAATCCATGCCTAAAAATCTCTGGCACCTGAAGGAGAAGGCAAATATTTAGGATTATATCCCTAAATAAATGACTGGTATTTATAGTGGAGCCAGCTTTTATAGAGAGAGACAGGATAGTGCAGTGGTAAGTAATACAGGCTGTGGAACCTGAGTGACTTACATAAGGAAACTAATGCCAAGAACGCTTATCTGCGATTAGAAAAGTGACTACTACCTCATAAGATTAAGGACAATGACAGTCAAGGCTTTATATAAAAACCTCAAGGCACTATTAAATAGTCAAACTAAGTAACTTTGAGCTATTTAAATATTATAAATTTTACCTAAAAGAAAGCAAAAAGCAATTTGGGGGAGATCTGTTCTGGAAAAAATAATTTTACAAAATTCTCCCATTTTTTAATATGGTAAGTAGTTTTCTGACCTCAAATACAGAAGGCTTTCTTCTTTCTCTTTATTTATTATAACAAGAGAAACAAGATTAAGCAGCATAATAAAGACAAAGCTACTGTATTCTGCCATCTATAATGCACTCCTGTGTATAAAGCATGCCCATGTTTTTGGCCCAAACTTTCAGAGAAAAAAACTTTTGTTTTAATTTTTTCATTTAATTTCTCACTTATTTCTATTGGAAAACAAAACCAATTATCATATTCCCGGACATTATTTTGCATACGGATATCATCATTGCTTTTTAGAGTTACACTTTTAATGCATAAGCATAAATATTAAAAACATTTATATAACCCTGGCTGGTGTCGCTTAGTGGATTGAGCGCAGGCCTGGGAGCCAAAGTATCACTAGTTTGATTCCCAGTCAGGGCACATGCCTGGGTTACAGGCCATATCCCCAGTACGGGGTATGCTAGAGGCAGCCACACATTGATGTTTCACTCTCTTTCTCCCTCCCCTCCCTATCTCTCTAAAAATAAATAAATAAAATCTTAAAAAAAACATTTATATAGATATGGAATTAATACTACTTATGTATAATGTGCATCCTTATTTTTCCTTAATATTTGGGCAAAAAGGTGAGCATTACACACAGCAAAATATAGTAGTTCTCTCTTCCCATTATTATTTTTTATTGTCATCCAAGGATATATTTATTGATTTCTTTCATGTGCCCTGACTGGGGACCAAACCCACAACCTAGGTATGTTCCCTTATTGGGAACTGAAACTGTGACCTTTCTGTACATGAGACAACACTCCAACCAACTGAGTCACACAGGCCAGGGCTCTTCCCATTATTTCTAATCCCACCCCCTTAGATAACCAATGTTATACGTACAGATGCTTTTTTAAGTTCATTTTTTTTTTTAAAAACTACTACAATACTCAAAAGCTTACCTCCAGATATATTGATGGTGGATTATGCTCTCCGCCAAATTTGTCCAATAGTGCCTCTATATGTTCCTGTGTCAATTTAATCATTTGTTTGATATTCCACACCTAAAAAAAAATTTTAAAACAATTTAAATAAAAGTCATTTAGAATAGGAATCAGAAATACTTCAACATTTCTATTAAAATATTACAGTAACTGCCAGCGATCCTTGAAATTTGGAGCTTAGAAAACTTAGAGATCAGTTAGTATAGCGGTTTTTCCCTTTTATTTAACATTTTACAATTTTTTTCCATACTATTAATATAACCTATTCTCAATTATAAAAAGCCTCAAATACATGAATATTCAGAATAAACAAGAATCTCTTTTTACTTTTCCCACATTCCTGCCCCCCCCACCAAAAAGGTAAGTGGTGTTTATAGTTTAGTATGCATCTTTTCACATCTTTTTACTTGAGTAAAAAAAACATAAACTCATACATGAGGTCTGTCTGGAAAAAGTCCAGCCATTGTTAATATAATGAGAACAGTTTGCTTGATACATAATCTGGTAGCTAAGGAAAGTGGACTGGAATGCACATGTATGAACAATGATGACTTCACTGTACTAGTCAGTGGGGGCAGCAGACGCTGTTGAGTGAGCATGTGTATAGTGTGGCCGTTGCATCTGAAATGACTGAGTGAGTAAAGGTATGAATCTGCATCAAATTTTGTATTAAACTTGAATGTTCCTCCCTGGAAACTATTTGGATGATTCAGAAGGCTTTCAGGTAAAATGCAATGCGTGCAGGGCAAATAAAATGTGCCACAAATGCTTCAAAGATGGCTGAGAATCTGTTGAAGGTGATCCATGTTCTGGAAGGCCTGCAACAAGCAGAACACCTGAGAATATTGAATGTGCATGGGCTGCAATCAACAAAGATTGGCAACTGACCGTGCGAGAACTAGAAGCTGATCTGGGAATTCCAAAAACTACTGTGTCTGAGATTTTGACTCAGGATCTTGGCAGAAAATGTATCATGGCAAAATTCGTTCTGCAGCTTCTGCTACCAGAGCAGAATGAACACTGTGATTAGTTGTTAATGATATTGTGAAAACTGCGAGGTCCCAAGGTACCTTACTTTGAAGGGGACTGAAGCATCACTGTCCTACGTAAAATGTTTCTTGTATCTCATATCTCCTTCAATAAATGCCTCTAGGGAATTTCACATTACATAGCTGGATACTTTCAGGATGGGCCTTGTCACAAATATAAAAAAATACTTGCATACATGCAAAACAAAGATCATATCTAAAAATATTTTAACACTTGCTTTTTTTCACTGAACAAAATGTCTCAGAACTCTTTCCATGTCAATACATATATATTTTATTCCTTTTTAAATGATTATTATATATGCATCCTCTTAAATGGTTATATTAAATACAGCCCTGACTGGTGTGGCTCAGTAGGTTGGATGTCGTCCTGCAAACCAGGTCCCTGGTTGGGGGCATGTAAGAGGCAACTGATCAATGCTTCTCTCCCTCTCTTTCTCCTTCCCTTTCCCTTCTCTCTAAAAAATAAATACATAAAATCTTTTAAAAATGATTATATTAAATTTAGATATTCATTTCATTTCATAATATTGTTATGACATTGCTTATTTCAATGATCTTCAAACTTCAGTAGTAAAATAAGGTTAGGTGGGCATAAATTAACTTTACTTATACACTCCAAAGTACCTAACAAGAGGGAAAATCCCTTGAAAGAAAAGCAGAGGAAAATGAAGAGCAAGACCTTATTTTATCAATGAAACACATTATTGGTAAGGCCTCAAGACATCCATTTATTTAACCAGCCAACCTACAATTCAGAAGTCCAGTGGTTGTAATACAAGTACATGTTACATACTTATGTTAAGATATATTTAAAAAACCCTATTTTTAATGAAAAATAAGTTCAATTTATTTGAGTGGTTTAAGAACTTACTTTGCAAATTACATATGTGGTAAACTACTCTGTTTTAAACTCAATGATCTATACCTTCAATTTTAATGTGACCAAAAATGTATTTAACATAAATATAATACATACTAGAAATTATGGCCTTTAAAACTACTTAAAATTATTACAAAAAATGTGAGAAAATTTAAAAATATACGGGGGGGGGGATGAGCAAAGGAGTTTCAGGATCCCTGGCTTATCTAATAATTCCCTTACTAGAGGGCATTTAAATTATTCCATTTTTCTCTACTTCAAAATGTTTCATGAATAGTTCTGAATTGTCTTTTGGGACAAAGGTCTGAGTTTCCCTTTTATATATTAAAGCAAAAGATTTCTGGACTGAAGGATATGCATATTTAAAAACTATGCCAATGGTCTTCCAAAAGAAAAAAAGTACCAAGTCATAGCTTCCTCACAGGGTGTGCATCCACCCTTTTCCTTATAATCCCACCAAACTGGGTATTATCAAACTACTAAACATTTGCCAATCTGAGGAGGAAAGGTGATCTTGTTGTTTAGTTTGTATTTCCTGGAAAGCTGAGCATTTTTCATGTTTATCTGCCATTTAAATTTCTTTTTGGAAAATTCTCTATCCATATTCTTTTTCCCTTCTATTTTTTTCTTGTTGATTTATAGATACCCTTTATTCTGGATACTTTGGACATTAATCCTTATTCTCTTATAAATGCTGCAGTCTTTCCTTGTTTTTCACTTTGTATCTCTTTTGTCATATAATGTCTTGCAACTCAAAGTGTGGTTCATAGGCCAGATGCAGCATAATCTTCTGGAAGTCTTTTAGAGTAGCAGAATCTCAGGCCCCATTTCAGACCTATTAAACTTTAACAAAATAATTCATATTAAAGTTTGAGAAGTGATTATAAAATTTTCAAATTTTTGTTTCAATCAGATAATGCAGTATTTTCCTTTATGACTACTTAGCTACTTCTCATGTTTGCAAAGACTAGTAGATATCTGCTTTTCTCAAGCTACATTTACTCCCCAGGTGATCTTATCCAATCTTGTGGCTTTGTATGTCAAATATGGACTCATAAAGCCCAAGCTTTAAAGCAAGCTCTGTCACTAATATCTCTATTAAGAAAGCTTAGAAGCATCTCAAACTTCATATGTTCAAAAACTAACTTCTGATCTACCCTTGAAGCCCCCAAATACTTGTTTTTCCTACAGTCCCTTCATCTAAAACAGATTCTCTCTATAGTAAGTTCATTGACTACCCAGGCAGAACTGCTTTATAGTAAAAACCTGATATATAAAATTGATTGTGTTTCAGGTTTATTGACCACTTTGAGACCAGAAACATGTTTTATTCATCTTTTGTCCCCTCATCACTTATCCTGGGTTCTCAGTCCTAACAGGTACTCAATTAATGCTGGAGCTAAGATTTAAGCTGCCTTCAGAATAGGATAAGAAAAAAATTACTCCTATTCAGTGATTCTTTCCAACCCAGTAAATTAAGGGCTCTAGTACCCAAAGCCTTTTTTTTTTAAAGCTCCACAGATAAAACTGATGTGTAGTTAGGATAAAGAACCACCCCTCTAAGGCATGGGAATCAGAAAAGAAGAAGAAAAAAAAAAAGATTTGAGCTGGGGAATGAGCATGGGAGTAATGTGTAGACCAGGGGTGTCAAACTCATTTTCAATGGAGGCCACATAAGCCTCACAGTTGCCTTCAAAGGGCCAAATGTAATTTTAGGACTGTATAAATGTAACTACTCCTTAACTAGGGGCAAGGAGCTTGGTGCTGCCGCCACGTAGAAACAAGGTGCTGGGCCAGATAAAACAACGTGGAGGGCCGGATTCAGCGTGCAGGCCTTGTGTTTGCCACCTGTGTTTTATAGTGTGAGCAAGAGGGTGGACTAAAGTGGGGAATAACAAAGGGGAGAAATCAAGCCTCATGTCACCAACAGGGGAGGTTGATTAAATGACCAAGGAGGCATCTGGCTATGAGGAGGAATGAAGCAGGAGATACATTCACAGTATACTAATAAGCCGATCTCCACAGGGGTGAGGGGTGTAGGTTCAGGAGATTCAGGCCCAGGGTGTGTCAATATTTAGACTCTAAATTTGACAAGGGTGTCAAAGTCATTTTCACCAGGGGCCAAATCAGCCTCGTGATTGCCTTCAAAGGGACAAATGTAGAGGTCCTTGCCTCTAATTAAGGAGCAGTTACATTTATACAGTCCTAAAATTACATTCGGCCCTTTGAAGGCAACCACAGGGCTGATGTGGCCCCTGTTGAAAATGAGTTTGATACACCTGATTTAGAGAATAGATTTCACAAAAAGTGTTGAGAAGAAACAGACACTGAAGTAGGATAAAAACTGTTCAATGAAGAAAATTTATTGGATGAGAACAGAAACAAGAAACAGTGGACAGAAGACATTGGGAAAGATGGAATTTATGTATTTGCATATATTTATTTGGTCCTATTTCCATACATTTGCATATATAACAGGGCTAGGAGATAACAGCACATTTGTAGGCAGAAGGGAAAACCTGAGAAAGGTAGAAATTGAGGATGTGGAAGAGAGAAGCTGGAAAGAAGCTCTAGAGGCAGTAAGGAGAGATGGAACCTGAGTCCCAGGAAGAGGAATTAGACTGTCAGGGAAAGTCTCTGGTAACAAGTGAAGGAAGACAGCGAACACGAAGACCAATACAGACAGGTTTATAGATTTGGTTGAAAGAAGAAGATGAGTGCTGCATCTAATTTTAAAATAAAGTTTGATGTGAAGTCCACAGATAAGAGTGGGAGCCCTGAGAGCTTTGAGATTGAGTGGAAATTAATGGGGAAAGTGAAGCGCCACAGCGCTGTGAGACACTGCTGAAGCCCCATGGGGGCTAATGGCATAAATTTAAAGCAGTACATTCAACTGCCTATGAGCAGTTGGTATGTATTTTCTTAGGCCCATTAAATGAAAGGGGAGAGGGTCTAGAGAGCCCAAGATATTAGTAATTCTTATTGCCATTCCTTACTAATACCTATATTAGTCCTGAGACTGTGGGTTTTAAAGAAACAGTTTCACTAGAGAAGGCTGAAGAAGTGCTATAATCAAGGGCTGGACAGGTGCCTGGTACCAATTTAGGGTTAAGGAAGAGGTTGAGGAT